CTGGCCTCGGCCCTGGGGCCTGCGGGGGAAGGGGCTGGTGAGCCGGGCCGCGGGCCAGAGGGGCCGTCCGCAGGCTCGGGGCGCGAGCCCCCACTCTGACTGACCTAACTCTGAAAGGACTAGACACGGGCACCAGGACCTATGAAGTACCGGGACAGGCGGGCACCCCGGGGTCCCGACGCAGTCGGGCGGGCGGGCGGCCGCCCCCCACCCACCCCAGGGATGGGGCTGCAGCAGCTCACTCTCGGCACCCTTGTGCTGTGCTCACACGTCAGGCAACAAGGTGCATCGAGCAGAACTTTCTAGGTTCACGTCACTCTTGGCCCACCGGCGATGCAGCCTTCAGCCTCAAACCCTGCGCCCCCCGCAGCAGGAACGACGCCTCACCGAGGTCGGGGCCCGGGGGGGCCTTGCCGCCCCACTTCTCCTTGATCCAGCGCCGGTAGTCAATCACCTCCTGCGTGACCTTGATGATCCGCCCCAGTGTGCTGCAAGAGGCGCGCTGGCTCAGCCCGGCCGGTCGCCACCCGCCTGCCCGGCCCGTCACAGCGCAGCGAGGTGCTGGGAAATGCGACTCCACAGCAGAGCTGGGGCTCCTGACCGGGCCGGGGCTCGCCCAGGCCCCGCTGTAGCAGGGCGGGCCTGTGGCAAGAGGCCCCGCTGGGCCGGCCACCAGCGATGGCTCAGGCCCGGAGCCCAGGGGAAGCCCCGCCGCCCAAGGCCGCCCGCTCACTGCGGGCGTGAGACCGGACCCCTGGGGTCCGGCTCTGCTGCAAACCCCGGGGGCAGGGCCCTTGGGCGTCTGGGGCCCTGCAGGGCCCTGGAGTCCCCAGTGGGGGGGGGCAGCTGGTGAGGAGGAAGGCGCCGGGAGCGCGGGCGGGGAACCCGGACAGAGTGGGAGGGCGGCTCTGGCAGACAGCCAGGACGGGGAGGGGAGTCACACGCAGGCCCAGGCCGGGTGGCAGCACCACGGCTCAGCTTGAAGCTGGGGGCCCCCTCCGCCCCCGCCCCCATGACTGCCGCTGCCCCGGGCCCTGGACTCATTCCAGCCTCAGCCGCCCTGATGCGGCCGGGCCTGCTCAGCTGGGCGTCTGCCCGTGAGGGCAGCGGGCATTTCGTAGCTGTCACTTGAAATCCTGTCTTCTTTGCCCTGTGAACTCACATCAACGGTCTGCTGGCCCTGCCCTGGGGCATGTGGATGGCTGAGCCCTGGAATGGCCACAGGAGTTTGCCCGTCACAGTCTGGGCCCCGCACCCCCGGGTCCCGCCTAGCTCAGTGCCCCCCCACCTGCAGAGCTCAGACGGCCCGTCGCGCTGAGGACAGAAGGCCCGTCGCGCCCCCGCGCCCCACGGCCTGCCCAGTCAGCGCGCCCCGCGGAGGCGCAGCTGGGCCCCGGAAGCCCTTCCTGCCCCGCCCCAGCGAGTCGGCCGTGGCGGCCAGCTGGGAAGGCCCCTCCCCGGCGCGCTGGGCACAGGCGCCGCGCAGAGCCGCGTCACCTCTCCGAGTCCCTGTTGGGGTAGGACCGGGCCAGCGGCGACACGGCGTGGCTGAGGACGATGTAGGCGTAGTCGAAGACCTGCTTCACCTGCATGGCACCGTAGGAGCTCCGGCCAACGTCGTTGCCTGCGAGGAGGCGGCGCTCAGACCGCGGCCCCAGGGCCCTGCGCCCATTCGCGTGGCCGGCCAGACCCGCAGCCCCAGAGCCCCGCCTGACAGCAGCGAGCGCAGGGCCTCGGCCAGGGCCGGGGCGGCGGCCACAGAGGGCCGGGCAGCCCATGTGGCACAGACCACGATGGAGCGGGCAGCAGCAGTGGCCAGCCCACTCTGGCAGCCGGAGACCTGAGGGCCTCGCGGCCTGCCCCGGCGTCCCTGCCCACGTGGCGGCGGGAGCGTGTCCCGCCCACAGAGGCTCAGGAAGGGTGGAGGGCCAGACGGGCCGCGAGCCACACAAGCCAGCAGAGACTGGGGGCTCCTGCAAGGTCTCCTCAGGCTGAGACTCCCTGACACACACCGGGGCACCTTGGACAGGCGGGGCCTGTGCAGCAGGCCTGGAGCCCTGCCCCCAGGGCCACTCGGACAGGCACCTGCAGGCAGGGAAGGGCCTACAGGAAGGGCCCAGCAGAAGCGCGGCTGCGAGCCCGAGTCCCACGTGGGGGGCCACTTCGTCAGGAAGCCGCGGTGCCGCGTGACTGTCCGCGCAGAAAACCCTGCGGGACCCCAGGGGCGTGACAGCCTCCCTGCCTTGCGGCAGACTTCCCAAATGGCCTGGATCAGAGGAAGACGGACGTTTCCTAATTCTCACTGCGTCTTCCCGGCGGACCACGCCAGGAACGGGACTGCAGCCGAGGGAGCTCACTGCCGGCGCCCGCTGTGAAGGCCGCGGGCCTTACCTGGCAGCAGAGGGTCCTCGATGCACAGCATGGACGGCCGGTGCCCGCCGGTCATGGCCTTCACGACCTCCTCTTTGGCGACATAGGCGCCGCCTTCTTTTATTCTGATGCCGGTTTTTAAGTAATTAAAATTTCTTCCGTAGAGTTCAAAAAATTCTACAAGCAGCATTCCAAGGTTTTCATCCGCTCTCCGGGCATCGATCCTCGGGTGCAGCTGCGAGAGCAAGGCCCAGTG